AGAGAGAGAGAGAGCAAGCATGAGTGGGAGGAGGGGGAAAGGGAGAAGCAGACTCCCCGCTGAGCAGGGAGCCCGATGCGGGGCTCGATCCCAGGACTCCGGGATCATGACCTGAGCCGAAGGCAGACACTTAACAGACTAAGCCACCCAGGCACCCCTAGCCACTAAATATTTTTAAATGTACTTTGTGTCTATGTTTTTATTATATTACAAATACATTATTATGTTTTTCTGAAAATTTTTTGATTTGTTAGATCATTACAGCTATGATAATATTTTAATTAGTGCTTTATCATTTACCAAATATTTGTCAATTTGTTCATTAAATTAATGCCAGTAGATCTGGTTAGGTAATATTTCATGGAGTGTTTGTTATTTCATATATATAATCAGATTGAGTAGAAGTCATTTCATCCTCTGCTGGTAATTCCTGTTTCTTTGGGAACATTTTGGCTAAGTATTTCTTAGAAGAATTTTAACAGAAAAAAAAAAAGAATTTTAACAGAAATTAGAGTCAGAAGGGAGGAATCTCAAATGACCATTTTTAGGTAGTAGAGAGTTCACTGTTTCCACTCCTCCACATAATGTAAAGCTGTGTAGTGGTCTTTTATGCAGGTTCATATCATCATGATCTTGGCCACAGAGTTTTCTTATTTCCACATACTTACAAAATGAATTTGTGATGACCTAGAGTGAGGTGCTGACCTACTGGAACCAAATGAAAACTTCTCTTTGAATATGTCTGGTTTCATCTTAAGTTTCAGTTTAGTTATGATTCCATTCTTTATCCTTCAATAATGTGCTACTTAGAAGAATATAAAAATATTAAGAAAAAATTGAAAGGTAGATTTAAATTAATTGTACTTTTTGACAGTTTGCAGCTGTTGCAACTTTGCCATTCGATGTGGTAAAAACACAAAAGCAGACTCAACTTTGGACATATGAAAGTCATAAAAGTAAGTTTAAGTAATTTAAAACATTTTCAAGATGCCATGATTGTTTTTATTTTTCTTTGCAGATGGGACTATCTAAATAAGAAAAATAAGATTTTTTTTCCTCTGCTGCTTTAACTGAAACTAATATACTGTTAGAACGGAATGCCCAGAGAAAAAAATACTCAACCCCCTTCAAAACTTAAGAAATTTAAAAATCTATATATTTTGCCTGCCATCAGTTAAGTCTTGTACCTGCTAAAGAGAAAACTACGTACTATATTAGATAACTATTCTTTCAAATAAATCTAGACAAATTAGGGTGAAGGATAGGAAATTAGTGGGAACCCTTTTTCTCTTGGTGTGTTTTGTTTCATTAGTTTGTTGTATACATTTCATTCATAACATTTTTTAGCTTCCCTTCCTTTTGATACGTTTTTTTCCTACCTGTTATCCTTTGTTTACCTCTTTATAACCTGTAATTTCTTCTAGAACAAAAGTGCACTCTAAGGTGCTTCTGCTAGATTCCTTCTGTCATTATTTATTATCTATAGAAAGTGTGGCAAATCCTTTGGAAATTATCTATTACAAAAATGTATCATGTAAACCTCGTGATTGATAAATCTATTATAATAATGTTAATAAATTGTTCTGGTGTTCAAACCCACCAGCATATTCTGCATACAAGTAAAATAGGTATTATAATTGTTGAAAGAAACACTGTTTACAAACAACTGAATCTGATGAATATTAGTGACTACTTTGTCCTTGACTTTCCAGACTCCTAGTCCATTCTTGTAATAGGAGCTAACTAAAACCTGGAAAGTAACAAAGTTTATTATCAGGGTTCTTACCACTTCCGTTTTGGGTGGGACCCTTCTAGCTGCCTCAGCTTATCTATTCTCCCCTGATAGTTCAAAATTATTTTGTTTTATTCTCCCTTCCAACTCATCAGAATGCCTGTTTCCTCAATATTATGTGAAGTGTTTAATATAGTAGGAATATGCTCTGTGGTGTGATTCATGACTCATGGCAATAGTGAGGGAAAAGATGGGAATCTCTACAGTTAGGTTCTGATGCTCACTAAGGTTTGAGAGCCACTTAACTGGAGGCACCTGGGGTGCTTTTTCATTACATCTAAAGTTGGGCACCACCACCAATGGACTGTCATTTAATAGAACTAATCTGGGGCTCTAACTTGTGTATTCTGAAAATGTTCCCTAGGTGATAGTGATTGTACATCCCCCTTGAGACTGGCGTCAAGGAGGCATCTTCTTTCACTAGATTCAACTCTTACCTATCAACTGGTTTTCTTCTAGTGTTTCTCCAATAAACCCCAAAGGAGAAACCTTAAATAAGCCTTAGGTCTTAATTTTGTATGATTATCATTGGTCACTTTTACCTGTTACTCTGCTTCAGCTACGAACCAGGTATATTTAGCAAGATACGCTTTTCCTGCAAACTACACTTCTGATTTGAGTGATAAACAGCCCATATTTTTTCTCATTTTATCATATATTATTTACCCCACCAAAGAGTGGAGGCTTTCTCTACTCTGTAGCTCAGCTACACCAAATCCATTATCTCTAAGCAAAAAGAAAAATAAGAAGTGTTCTATAGAGAATGATGTTGAGTTCCTTGTAAGAATATGATCTCTGTAGCAGCGCACTTTGACCATGTCTTCCATCCATTAGTCGACTCCTGATTCGAGTGCACCATGCTGGTCTATACAGACTAGTGAGGCCATCTCTAAGTCCTCAAACAGCTCATAATGTAATGGAAAAGAAACATATTAGGATGTAGTGAGTGCCAGATTTCATAATAGAGATAACTATTTCCTCACTTATGAGTCCATCATTTATAATTTAAAAAAATTTAATGTCACCTTTCAGCTTTTTAAACCTAGCTCAGATCCACCTGTTTTCGACAGTTCAAGTTTTTTTCTATGAACATATTCAGTATTTTAAAATACTTCAACAGAAATTTTAAAACCATTAAAAAATGGTTATATGTGACAAATTTGTGAAGAAAAGCTCCATCTTAGTAGTCATGAGGACGATGCCAACCACAAGGGCAGTGAGAGGACATTTGATATGCACTGGGTTGTTGGTGGGAATGCTCATGCCGGGCAGGTGAGAGTCTTAAATTTGGAAAATAATCTGGCAGTCTCAAGAAAGACTCTTTGAACAAGCAGTTCCACCTTTGATATGTGCCCTAGAGAAACGTCTGCACGTGTACAAGGATTCTTAATCCCAAAAAGGTAGAAATCACCAGAATAGTCCCTGGCAAGGAAATGGGCAAACTGTGATAATCCATATAAAAAATAAATCAAATATAGCTGTACTTGCCAATATAGATAATCCTAATATATAAACGTGCAGTGTGATAGCATTTATACAAAGTTTAAGAGCATGAAAAGCAAGAGTATATATTATTTATGGATATGTTCAGATGTAATAAAGTTTAAACTGAAGCATGAGAAAGATAAAGGAAAAAAGAAAGACAAGAGAGTGGTTACCTCTCAGGAGATAGGAAGAAGAATACTGAGAGGGAATATTTTTGCTGTATAATTGCTAGGATTTGATAAATGTGGATGGTCAGTAAATGAGTGTTTCTTTTATTGTTGTCTATGCTTGAAATATGAAATAACCAAACAGTGTTTCCTTACAATGTAAGAAGTTACTTATTACCTGTAGGAATAGCTCTATAGAGTGTTGGAACTTTAGGTAGGAGATACTTTGGAGATTCGATTAGAGTGTGACCCAGGCTTACCTTCAGTTGGTAATGCTTTCTGTCCATTCTCTTCTGCACTGATTGTACCCTGCTATTTAAATAGGGACCACTTTGGGTCTTGAATTCTACAATATCAGAAATACCTGGCTACTTGGCTTCCTTTCTTTCACTATTTGTTTCCAAAATGTAAATGGAATAATTTAAACATGAAGAAGTTGCCGACTTGTAATATAAAATTTTTGTCATTAACTTTCTTTAGAAAGTTAAATTTCATTCATAAATACTTTGTTCTTGGTTTCAAAAATGTCTCCTTCCTGTTGGATTGCTATAGTATAGTTATTATCTTTATACTTACAGATTTATATTGATCATATAGCATCCTAAATAAATCACAAAGCCTCATTTATCTTCATGGGTCAGAGAATCTGGTATTTCTACAAATGAGATTTGAAATAATGAGCCCATGCCATTAAGTGGTAAAATTCTAAAAAGCCATTTTTGAAAGCTCTCTTTCTCCAGCCTTTTCTTGTTTTCCCTGGGCATGCTAAATAATACAGAGCTTAATCTTTCTGAAGGATCAGAGTTGTCATCCACGTTCACATTGACTATCATAGTCTTATAAATGCAGCTCTGAGCAGCTAATGAGGCTACTGTAGCAGTGTTTGCCTCTCATCCAGCTGATCTCAAACCAAGACTTTGACAACCTCAGTGTGTCAGCTGTCACAGTGTTCACGTGGTAGTGTGCCTGCTTCCTAGCAGACTCCTTTTTTACTTACTGCATCTAGTAATCTGTGGCCTAAGGCAGCTGCTTAGAATCACTGTGTAAAATGAAGGTAAGTAGACTTTGTGCGTGAATAGCTCATTCATAGCTGTATGTTTGAACATCAGTGACATCTATTTTTGTTGTTTTTAAAAAATAGTTTTTTACTTTCAGATATTTGAGTGGCTGCAAATAAGAGAGACGTTACTGTTAATTAAAGGCTGGAGATGCCAAATGTACTTCTAGTGACTGTACAGTTTGAAATATTTTTTTACCAAATTTTATAAAAATGCAGAATTTTGTTTTAAAAAAAGGCTAAGTCTGCCCTTTGGAGGAGACAAGATTGATATAATTTATATCAAGACTGGCACATCTAGGGGCGCCTGAGTGGCTCAGTCGTTAAGCGTCTGCCTTTGGCTCAGGTCATGGTCCCAGGGTCCTGGGATTGAGCCCCGCATCGGGCTCCCTGCTCAGAGTGGAGCCTGCTTCTCCCTCTCCCACTCCGCCTGCTTGTGTTCCCTCTCTTGCTGCGTCTCTCCTCTGTCAAATAAATAATCTTTAAAAAAAAGAGAGAGACTGGCACATCTATTCAGAAAGGTTTTAATAAAGGCAGACAGACCTCCCTAGGGAGAATGAGCTATTCTTTTCAGAACTTCTTAGGAAAAAAACATTTTTTTAAAGATGTGCAATAAAAATTTAATGAAAAATGGTTATCAGGGCTTCTGTTTGGCTTTGAGAACCCCATGAAAATTTCTACACATCTTTTAAATTTTTCATTTTAAGGCATGGAAATACGTATAAAGGATACTACCCACCACCAAGCTTAAGAAACTTAATTCAGAGAATCCATCTGCATATTTGTCCTTGATTATATCCAGTTGTATACACCTTAAAGTTAAGACCTTTTTCTAATTCTTCTTTTTAATGAATCCAATTGTTAGAAATAAAATTTTGGGTAAATTTTAGGTGAATAGATCTGTTCTTATTATAATGATTATACACGCCCAAAGTCATAAACATTTTTATGTGTATTAGAAGTTATTAAGTGATAATTTATAATGTATCATTTCTTTAACATTTAGTTTCTATGCCTTTGCCTATGTCAACCTGGACTATCATGAAGAACATTGTTGCTAAGAATGGATTTGCAGGATTATTTACAGGTAAAAATACGTGCTTTACCAAATTGTTGAATAAAATGGTTACTTTTACATCTGTCATCTTCCTGAATTAACTTTAAGCAGGAAATTATTCAAAACATTCCCCATTTATGAAAACATACCACATTTATGATATGAAAGCAAACATCTTAGGGACACCTGGGTGGCTCAGTCAGTTAAGCCTTCAGCTCAGGTCATGATCCTGGAGTTCCAGGACGGAGCCTGGCGTCGGGCTCCCTGCTCAGCCGGGAGTCTGCTTCTCCCTCTCCCTCTGCTTCTCCCTCTCCCTCTGCTTCTCCCTCTGCTGATGCGTGCGCGTTCTGTCTCGCTGTCTAATAAATAAAATCTTTTTAAAAAATTACATTTTTTAAACATAAGGTAAAATTTGTTCTGATTTTTTTTCTATTCTCTTTTCAGGCCTCATTCCCCGTTTAATTAAAATTGCTCCTGCTTGTGCTATTATGATCAGTACCTATGAATTTGGGAAGGCTTTTTTCCAAAAGCAAAATGCTCGAAGACAACAATACTAGTGATGCTGTTTCAACTTGAATTAACAACCAAAGCCAAATAATAAGATGGAGACTCTTAGGCAAGAACTCTTTCACCATTATCTTAAAATTATTTTATATATTTCTTTCTTATAATTTAAATGAGCAGTAATTTCTACTTTGCCTCTGAATCATAACCCTAATTTTAAAATAAATTGTTAGTCTGATTTTTGAGATATTGAAAAAGATACTCCAGAAGTCACACCATTAAATGTTCCTGTAAAGAAAAGAAAAATTATTCCTTAGCACTGAAAGTGATAATCTCTGAGAGTTTGATATTATAGATTTCGGTATAACATCATTGGGAATGTGTCAGATGTATCAGAACATTTTGAATTGTGTGTTGAATGATGTTCAGAGTCTAGAAGAAAAATGCCTGTCTCTAACACACACTTAAATCATGCACATAGATATTTAAGTATTCCAACAAAGTAGATAATAGATGGCAGTCTTTAAATAACATTATTCGCATTTATCTAATTACCTATTAGATTTTCTTTAATTCAAATGCATTAGTTTTTTGTTTTATTTTACACCTCCTCTTGCTGTGATAAGGCTTCACCAGTATTAGGATTTCTCTGCCTAAAGGTATGGCTGTTTTATCTTTATGAACCAGAATATAACTGTTTATGTGATAAAGATATTTTTGGTGACTAAAGACGCTGTATTATCTACTGTTTCTACAAGAGAGAAGGAGTCTTTACTGATTGCGTTAAATGTTTGGCACAGTGAATCTTGGGTGTGCATATATTTAGAGTGGTAAAAAGAACGTTTCAGCCTGGGAAGGGCCCTGGTTTCAGCCGTCTTGGAATCCAGATATCACTGTTTGTGGAGCTCTCGAGGTCACACGTATTGTCTTCTTCTAACAACACTGAGATTAACACAAGATAAGCCACAAGTACTTCCACAATGTCCCTTGATTGTACACATCTCATGTTAGTATGCTACATCAAGAGACTAAAGAGGCCGCTGTTTCCTTGAAGAAACAGCTTTATTCACTACAGGCTAATGGCTCAGTAATGTAGCTCGTGGCTGTAGGAATGAAACAGGACTATGCTGGACGGATGGAAATGTTCTGTTATTTTTGTTTTTGATTTATTTTCTCAGGATCTATATCCTATAAGAAAAAGCACTTTATTGCAGTCTGTGTGTATGCTATGACAATGTGAAGTTGTTGTTTTTTTTCCCTAAAATAGAGTAATATAGTTAGGTGACAGATCTCTAGTGTTGGTAGAGGAATTATGTATTTTGTATTTTAGTAGAAAAGAGTTCATATGTTTCGTCAGAAATAAACTATATAGGGTTTGTATGTAATCTTTTGTGTTTACTTTATCCTGTGTTGATTTACCTTAAATTTTTAACACACATATCTATAAAATCATTAATGTTTATGCTTTCTTAAAATTATCACTGTGCTTCAAGCTAAATATTTTCATATAAAATCATTATGTTAATGCTGTATTTTATATAAGAAAGTTTATCTTGAACACTGCTGTTTAACAGTATTAAATTTAAATTTACCTTTGTTCTGTTATGCTTCTTTTTGGTAACTGGTAGAAAAGAGAAAAATTTAAATTTATAATTATTAAGAAGCAGTCACATATTTCAACTTAATAGAAATAACCAGTAGGGAAATCCCCATCACCCTCCCACCCCCAAAACGGACTGCACTTATGGAAAATTCTTACCATTTATGCCTAAAATAAACAAATCTAATTCCCTAGTAGCTTTTCTAGTACATATTACAGCCATGTATCTGGATGAAAAGGGTGAATTGAAGCTTTCTTTATACTTAAGTGGTAAAGAAGCATTAATGCTTTATTTAAACAAAAAAAATAGTAGCAACTGAAAAGCACTTGGCTAGAAATTATATTCTTGGTCATGTTTCTGGAAGCAGATAGTTTCGATCTGCGTGAAATTTTCTAACAAATACATTTACTTCCTTATGTGTATATTTTTAAAAAAGAAATGCAAGTTTTACATGTTTGCCACCTTCCGTATAATACACATTTGACTTTTTGAACAAGTAGATATGAAGTTAAAATAAATTTTTTATTTCTAGGAAACTATTCACTATGCTTATTTAATCACATGACTCCTTTAAATTCTTCCCTCTTTCTGGAGCATGAATTCCAGGGATATGGGAAAGTTTAGTATATCAGGTTTTAATTTTTTTTCCAAAATAAACTTTTTAAATAAATTTTAACCTATCATTTGACATCTCCGATCTTTTCCGTGGCCAGCTCAAGTTTAAGAAGCACTGGAGATAGGAAGTGCTTCAGATACTCACTGGCTATAAAGTTGGCGGAGCTGTGATTGACAGAGGGCTGCAGAGGGAGTGCTGGGAGCGCTCAGGGATTCTCCACTGAGCTTGTGGGGAATGTCAGGAAATGCTCCTAAGATAAAGACAATTAAACGTACCTGGACAGGGGAGTCTCAGTCAGGCAACGGAAGTTAGTCCCATGGAAGGAAAAACAGGAAGGCAACTGGAAACCAAGCATTTTTGGCACAGGTCTAAGAATTATAGAGTTGGGTTTGGTGGTTTTGTTTTTTGTTCTTTTCCCCCAAGACCAGCAATTATTTTAACTGAAAAGAAAAGAGGGTAGCATAGTTTAGCACAGCACAGCACACACCAGAATGTGTCACATGTAGTAAGGCTGAGTCTTATGTAGTGAAACTTTGGCTTCAGTTGGGTTTTAGAGAAATCATCAGCACTATAGAAAATGGGGACTTATATAGTAAGGATTGGTTTGTACCAGAATAGACTTTGAAAAAGGACCATAATAACATTGATATAATTTTTATCTGCCCCTTCCTATCATCAGTTAAAAAGAACTAATGCTAAAAAATAAAAATTACTTTGCTTCCAGAAGAACAAAGGAAACCAATTAAAAAATACTTAAGAGCCCTGATGTTCAAAGCACTTGTGTGACATTTCAGAGGGAATCCAACATTACGGTAGGAACTTTGACCAAGAATTTCCCTAAGTTGTAAATTTGAGACACACTTTTAACCACTTGAAAACTTGTGTGTAAATCTAATAAATACGACTTAAATAAAAACTTAGTTTATATAATTTCATTTAATGCTGACATCATCTTGATGCCATCATAGGTTCTGAGAAGAAGATGATGTTTCCATTTTATAGGTGAGAAAACAAACATGGCTCTTATATAATTATGTTAGCAACTACCAAAATCACTACTGTATTGTACAACTTCAACAGATAACTGTGTATTATAAAGCAGATCATGTAATTTTTTTTTAAATAAAAGGGTATTTGAGTTGAAATAAAGATTTGTCCAAAACCTTTTGTCATATTAGTATTTTAGGTGTTGAGTAATATACATTTACCATATTTGCTAAAACAAAAAGTTCAGTGTACAGCTTGAATCCAGTAACTTGTCTTGAAGGTAAAAATATAAGCACTAATGCATGGTACAAAACGTTTAATATACATGCAACAAATATAGTACATCAAGGCAACAAAATACACATGGAAGTATTAGCATATAATTCAGCATTCTGTTTTGGGTAGGGTGTGTAAACAGTAAACACTACCATCTAAAATTAAAGATTGAGACATACATTGTTTCCTCATGCAAACATTAACTACATGTATAACTAGTGTGAAATGAAATGTATTAGAAACCTGAATTCACATTAGCAGATGAATTTTATACCAAGAGCTCCAAGAAAGGAGGAAAAGTCATGATCCTCAGATGTCATGTTTAAATCTGCATTTAGCAGCATGTTAAGATGCACAAGTTACTGTATGCATTAGACAAATCTGGCAAATGTTATCAATTATGGAATCTTGAATTTCCTTCCTATATTATAAAAATGTATGGAAGAAATTTAACAATGATTTTTTTTAATTACTGAGGAAAATAAATGTCAGTTGAGAGTGGACCATGAATGATAAAGCATTTTAAACATTCTGATCGTTTTTTAGGAAAGCAGCAATTGCTTAAGGCCAACCTAAAAATTTTCAAGTTCCCCTCCTTAGCCACTTCCTACTCCCTCCTCCCAAGGTTTCCACTGTCCTCACTTTGTATCTTCCTTCCATCCCCATGCTCATTAAAAATTGCTTTGGATACCTCACTCATAAGAAAGTATACAGAATTAAGAGTAGGTATCAGTAAATTGTTAAAGGTACCATTTTTCAAGAATATTTGCATTTTTACAAGTACTAAAGCCTTAAGCTAAAGGAATAAAGCTCTGAGTATGTTCTGGTACATCTAGAATAACTTATTTTAATGGCTTCCAGGCCTTTGTCCCTTAAATGACTTTGTTTGAACTGTCTTGCATATAAGACTGGCCTAATTATTATCTATTATCTTAAATCCCTAATTATGAGAATAAAGCTCTAAATATTGCAGAGAACCACCACACTCCTACATTTCTAATACAAAGAATTATGTAATAAGTTCAGCGCTCTTGCCTCCTCTGAATAAAATAAATTGTTGTAGGGGGAACACTGTTCCTACATGTCCAAGCTACTGAGTTTGAATGTTTTATTAATAAACAAAAATAGCATATGAAGTCCCATTAAATATTGTGTCCTCTTCATGTAAACAATGTATAAAACTTCTTTGGCACAACTGATCATATTTTCCTCATAGCACTATTAGAAAATACACTTCATACATTTTCTCTTTCAATATGGTTGGATTTTGATGGATGAAATACATAGTTCCAAAAACTGCAAAAAGGTTTTATAGCGCATAACTTTTTTAAAAAGAAAACTAATTTTTTTTTACCTGTAGATGTGTAGGGATTTCGAACATTACATCAGTTTTTAACATTAACATGGCATGATTCATTGCCGCGCACAAGGGAGAACAAAACAGCACTGTATGTCAGACATATTGTTGAGTATGGTGAGACTCCACTGATCCTTAGTTGAAGGTTCTCAAATCCTTAAATGAACTTGGAATCTTTCCTAATAAAATACTTTCCAACATCTGTTCTACGTTTTTAAATGTTTCCAACTACTGAGGAATATTTGATATTTTTAAAATAACACTTTAAGAAAATCTTGGGAAAACAATTTATTCATTTTACCAAAATGGTGTAAAATACTTTCCCTATGACCCTGACAAATTTAGTAATGGCCTAAAGACACATTCCTACAAAATTTATAAAATGTTAATGCAATGTTGTACCAAATGATAACTATTATAATAAAGAAAAACTGAGTAAGCCACTATGAAACCAGCTGAGAACCTCCTCCTCATATGAAAAACAAGTTATTTAAACATCAGAACCTAGGAAGAAATGAATGAAAAATGAAATTAACAAGTCATTTTTAGAAAATGTAATCTTTGAATAAAAGAGTAAAAGAAAATACTTAGCTTATGTCTCTGGAAAAAAACCTTGAACTCCATCTCTATATGGTACATTTAAATATATGAAATCAGCTGAATAATAAATATACATCACAATTTGCAATGGATTATTAATTTAGAGGATATTTGAAAGTTTTTTAAGCATATCCATTTTTAAACTTCCTCAGTGACAAATATAAGAATCTTAAAATGGCAGGATCATTTTCACTCAGAAGGGCACGTGGAGTGGACTGAATTCTCTAATAGAAGCAATAGAATTCCAGACATATGCCAGAACAATATAAAATTCCAAAGGTTTTCCCAGCAGTCAAACTTATGTAAATAGAACATTTGCAACATAAAAACTTCTGGCTCTGACATAAAATTCTTCAGGATGGAGTTAAGCCTGGACTCGTCATCTCTGTTGTGGGACTTGCAAGGTAGTCATTAGATTTGAGACTTGTTAGAGATTTGTAACTTGCCACTGAAGTTAGAGATCCACAGAGACCGAGTAATGAGGGAGTGTCTTCTTTACCTGAAAGTTAAGATAAAATAACAAATATTTAAGTGCCCTTGAAGAATGATACCAAAAGATCCTATAAAACTAAAAACTTACATAACGTCACAAAATACTGCGAACATACCTAATTATGTATTTCTGTAGCTTCAGTGTCACCCTTCAAAAAACATTACCAGAGGAGTATGTGTGCTCCTCGTAACAGTTCTAGATACGGAAGTTTGAGATACCATGTTTTAGGACAAAAATAAAACTTTTTTTTCCAGAATGTTCATGTTCAGTTACTAAAGGATAATAAACTAACAGTACCAATGCCCAGGCCACAGAAATACCAGGAAATCCTATGTAGGTTAAGTAATGCAGCAGAAACAAAACCGGTTCAGTTCAGGAGGAGCTGCATTGGGAGAGCTTCAGCTCACTCACTGAACATTTACTCGGCAGCTACCTTGCATCAGGAACTCTGTCATGTCCTGGACTTCGGTTCGCCCATGAAGGAAGACTGGCAGATCTGTTTTCACAGCTGGAAAACATGAGTTCTTTCCAGAGCTGGTTAAGTTTGCAAATACCAGCTAGAAGTGGCTGGTTTGAGGCTGTGAATGGCTGAGGTCTTTGAAAATTAGCAGGTTCCCAAAGTAGATAAAAAGCTTAAGTTTTACTTACACAGTTACTGAAGTATAAAGTGAACCAGACAGCAGGTGTTTCTGAATGCTATCTGTTGTTTCAAATGGCCCCTCTGAAGTGTTCCCATAGTCCTGTGAACTCTAACCCACCTAGTTACACTGTATGATAATTGCCAGGCTCTCTTTTCTTCTAAACTATACACTGAGAAAGGACGTGGAATCTGTTGTGTTGTTATATTCCCAGTGCCTAGCACACAAGAGATGCTCATTAAATAATTATGTAATTAACGAGTCATGATTCAGTAAGAACTGTACTGGGACCCAGGAGAGCTCCTATGTCCCTTTTAGCTGTATGACCTTAGTTAGGAAAGGCATCTTCTCTAAGCCTATCCTTTCCTTTGTAAAATCCTAAGATGACTAGCTATGTTAACTTCATAGTTTTGGTGACAAATACAATACAGGAAAATATAACAAGGTTAGAAAAAATATGGAAGAGGAATTGTTAATTTCCAATTTAAAATGTTTACTGTGTTATTTCGGGGTCAAAACATTTAGATGTTTCAAGGACCCTTTTAATCTTTAAGCTTAGAGACATTTCAGGCCAGAATTAACTTTCTGGAGTTCTTGTTAAATGCTCCTGGAACTCAACTGCTTTAGATAGTCTTTCCAAATTTCTACTTTAAGTGTACAATTCAGTGGCATTAATTACATCCACAGTATTGTGCAACCATCACCACTATTTCCAAAAACTGTCATCACCCCAAATTTTCTATCAATTTAAGCAATAACTCTCTGTTGTCCCCTTACCCCCAGGTCTCTGGAAACTAATCTACTTTCTGTCAGTGAATCTGCCTACCATACATCGTTCTTACAAGTGGAATCGTATAATATTTGTGCCCTTTTGTGTCTGGCTTTATTTCCCTTAGCATGTTTTCTAAGGTTCATCCATGTAGTATGTATCAGAACTTCATTCCTTTTTTATGGCTGAATAGTATCCCACTGTGTGTATACACTACTTTCTGTTTATCCATTCATCTGCGTGGACACTTGGGTTGTGTCTACCTTAGTACTGTAAATAATGCTGCTGCAAACACACACACAAGTATCCGTTTGAGTCTTGTTTGCAATTCTTTGGGAATATATACTTAGAGAACATTTTTTAATATAAAGATTATCATACAGTAATGCACAAGACGAAACAATCTAAATGTCTAACACAGTTACACAATGAGGTACTATATAGGGCTGTAAAAGGGATCAGAAGGATCTCTATGTACCTCTAGGTATTTCTAGAATATCTGGAAATTTCACTGTCAAGTGAAAACAAAGTGCAGAATAAGGTATAGCATGTTGCCTTTTATCTAGAAGAGGGGGACATAAATTATTTGAATTTACTTGTATTTATTTATTTATTTATTTTTTAAGATTTTATTTATTTATTTGAGACAGAGAGAATGAGACAGAGAGCATGAGAGGGAGGAGGATCAGAGGGAGAAGCA